GTTTTAGATCTGTTTATCGCGAGTCCGAGGTCTTTGCTAATGCGCTCCATCCTGTCCAAGAACTTGCCCATCTCGATTTCGCTGGCTGCCAGGAGAGTGGTGTCGTCAGCGTAGCGTAAGTTAGAGATTTTACAGCCTCCGACGGTAATACCACCATCCCATCCATCGCATGTTTTCCTGACGATGTATTCGCCGTAAATATTGAACAGGATGGGTGACAGGATGCAGCCCTGCCGCACGCCCTTGTGAAATTTGAACGAGTCAGATGCAGTCCTATCGATTCTCACTACTCCCTGGCTGTTGTAGTATAATGACTGAAGGAGTGCAGTAAGGTGGCGAGGGACCCCCAACTCTGTGAGGACATCCCACATTTATATTATGTCGCGATTAATTTCCTTCGTTTTTTATTATTCATAAACTGTAAATAAATAATTAAAACAGCGAATTATAAAAATCTTATTACTTGACGTTGGCTAATGCACAAACCGTGCCAGAGCCAAAAAATAAAGAAGAAATCAATCGGTCGCCCCGATGGTCTAATGCTACCTTTCCCAAATTGGCCGATAACGCCCCCTTGTGGGCGCTGCAGGCCTAAAGAGGACGGACAAAATGGGCAGTAGACAAAATAAGTTTGGAATAGAAACTTTTTAATTTAAAATTTGACTAAAAGTTATCCTCACAGTGGCTTGCCCACACACTCATAATCGCTCCGGCGGAACTGACGTGATGACGTCATCGTCGTCAATAGGTATACCGAGCTAAGATGTTTTGAACACTTATACAGTGCAGTTAGTGGAATATTATTAATAAATACGAGCCTGGATGAAACACTTCTGTGATAGTAGATTATATTAATAATGTATTGAAATGAATTACCTACACTGAAAGAATATAAAAATATTTGTATTAAATCTAGAATAACTCACCTCGTCGTACTATAGTCCTCTTCAATGATAACGTTGTGATGAGCCGGCGGCGATCGAGACATATGTACGTGTCCTAGATTCTGTCTATAATGATGTCCATTCATTTGCGGAACATCGACCTGGGTTGCCATGTAATAGCTCTCGTTTCTTAGTCCCGTCAATCTATCGATCACCGGGTTCCATCCATCCAGCCGACTCCACTCGAAACTATCCCTTTTGGCGTCGTGAGGTACATCCTTATCTCTCTCTAAATACCCTTTAGTGTCATCGGATTGGTTGGAGACCCAGCTGCTGTTGTTGTTTATGGTGACTATGGAAGCGTGTTTTTTGGGGCCGGTCCTTGCTTCGTGGCCATCGAAGGCCTCGTTCTTGTTGGCGTCGTAGTTGTGGTTGTCGGTAGGCTTGTTCTCCTTATCGCTGGATGTGTATATGACGGTGTTGTAGTTCTGCGAGTTGTCGTTGGAGCTGGTCGTATCGTTGCCGTTCGGTGGAGTGTCGTCTTTCCACCTCGCCAGGCTGTCCATACTTTCTGTGTGATTATGATAAAGTTTGAGAACCATCTAAGATGGTATTAACAAGTTTTTATAGCAAATTGTGTTATAAATCTTTGTAACTAAGCCAGAGCGTGGGGAGCGGGGGTACTATGGTCGATCCTGCGATGCATTGCTCTTGCTAGGGCCAGTGTTAGCAAATTCTCTCAGGTTGAATCCGCGAGCTCATCTACCCGTCCAGGCGTAGCTGGAATGGCCTCTTAGGCTACCAGCGAAAAAACGTTTATTTATTTATTGCATTGCATTGATGGGTGAACTAGCTCACAGCCCATTTGGTGTTAAGTGGTTATCCGACATCTATAACGTAAATACCGCCACCCACCTTAAGATATGAGTTCTAAGGTCTCAGTATAGTCACAACGGCTGCCCCACCCTTCAAACCGAAACGCATTACTGCTTCACGGCTGAAATAGGCAGGGTGGTGGTACCTACCCGTGCGGACTCACAAGAGGTCTTACCACCAGTAATTACGCTAATTATAAGTTTGCGGGTTTGATTTTTATTACACGGTTAAGTACGTATTTCATTAGAAAAATTGGTACCCGCTTCCGGGATTCGAACAGTGAGAGTATGAGTGAGAGCGAGATGTAGAACCATTAATAATATATTTTACCTGTTCTCCTGGCGATAGTAAGAGATATACTGCCACTCCTCTGCGGCCGGGCGTGCAGCAACGCCCTTCGCAGTGTCTCCATCGCCTCAGCGTTGGACTGACCCACCAACGACACGCCATTCACACTCAGAAGCTGATCGTTCGTATGTAATCTATAATAAAAATAGAAAAAGTTTAATTTCATATTTCAATATAGATAAAAAATATTTTTAGGGTAGTAATAGTTAAGTAGTAGTAGTAATTTGTTCGCGCCGTGAACCGGTTTTCCCTGGGTTTTTTTAGTTATACTTATGTCCTTTGATTGACATACTTTTCTACTACATTTTTATTTTTTAATACGCTTTTATTAGCTTTAGACGTATGTATGTTTGTAACGGAATCTTTGAACATGATTTTGACCCCCTTCAAAACGTCGGATTAACTCGAAATTTGGTATACTAATTAAGGACCGATGACAATTCAATATTAAAAAAAATAATTGAAAAATAATAATTTATAACTACTGTTACAATGCACCCCGCGCTTTTTTACAGTAAAATCATTTTTTTCTTACACTATTTTTAATTCAAATTTATTAAAATTTAATTTCTAATTTTTAGTTGGATTTTCTATAAAAGCGTTTTTTTTAAATTATTATTTATTTGAAGAAAAGATTTTTACATCTTATTATTGAGTTATAAAGTACCCAGTTCAGAGTAAACTGAAAATCGATAAGGCCCATTTGGAAATCCCCAACATAAATACTCTTAATCTTAGGCAACGGGACATCATATCCACAGTATTTTACCTAAAGTTTAGTTTACCCAAAAACTAGTAAATATCAAATTACCTTTTTTCGTAAAAAAATATGTACATAAAGTTTTACAATGGGATACAAAAAATGTTCCTATATCAATAATTAAGACCAGATTAATTACGAAATGGAAAATAAATTTTGATCTAGTATCGATTTAACGAAGGTTAGTTGCAGCAAAACATCTTAAAAAAAAATTATGCATCACTAGCCTTCCGTCTCGAGATGCAGCTCCGCCGTTTAATACTGATTTGATGAATATACCCAAGTCCTGTGGGTCTGGTCCAACAGTCACTTTGCCTTTAACGCTAATACCCAGCCCGGCCTTCTCGGAGTCATGAACCGGCACATCTAGTCGAAGTATTAGGCGATTTCTTAAGCCTAATATCTGAAACGATATGAACGTATTTTAAAATTTTCAGCAACCAAATAAATTATTTCGTTTTTTAATGCCTGGAATATTATCTACAGTGGCTATTTAAAAGTAGTGGCGTTGTATTCTAGATATGTATTATTATTACTGATAGCAATTGGGGTATTATTTACTGTCCCGCTTGAAACTTGCCGCAAAGCAGTTATTTATTGCGTTTTAAAGGTTGGAACAGTAATTAGAACAGAGTATGGAGGCAACACATTGTGTGTATGGACAACCAGCAACCTCTAAATTCACTCGTCTGTTAAAATCATCTTCATTTCATTTCACTCCATAATATCATTTTTCATAAAATTGAGAATATAAATTAAAAAAAGACATGACTTAAAGGTCTCAGTTACCAGGTCATAAAATCCCTTAAAAAAAATCGTCTGTTTTTAACTATGAAAATTTCAGATCGCAGTTTTTTTTTTGCTTCAGCAAGCTTAATACTCATGAAAACTCACAGAGCCCGAAGAAGTATTTAAAGCGTCTTGTAGCGCACTATCCGGAGTCTGCTCTTTACTCAATAGATCATCTTTGGAAGAGCTCTTCGGTATCCTGCCTCTCATTGAGCTGTTGGGGTTATTCTGATTGATCGCGTTCACTATACTGGAAACTCGACCATTTTCTGGTCCAGCGCCAGCTTCTGCTTGTTTCGGGGGGTTCGGGGTGCCGATGGCTTTCTCCACGTACTTCGTTGGACTTTGTTGGGGCTCTACCCTCTGAAATGAAGTTTAAGCTCATGTAAGCGAGTATATTTTAACATACCGATATTATAATTTAAGTTAATTGCACAGGTTCAATTCTGACGCAACAGACTTATTAAATGAAAACGAATAAATATGTGAACATTAAGAAAGCTTGAGAAACTTATTGGAAGATACTTTTCAAGTGGTTGTTTTTGTTAAGTGGAAGAAAGAATGAATAATATTTATTTAAAATGTTAATATTGTCTATTATTAGAGCGATTTAAATCTTGTCTACCAATAGACATCACTACAAAAGATTCTTTAGAAGATACTCAAAATTGGTATAAATTTAAAAACGTTATTTTGCGTAACGCAGAGAATAATTTTTAAATTTAGCCACTATTTTAAATATGCTACCTGTGTCCGATTAGGAACAGTTCTCTCAATGACGATGTCGACAGTGGAGTCGGTGGGAGTGTTCCTCAGCAGAGCGACGACTTGTTGTTGAGTGAGTCCCGACACCGAGACGTTATTGACTGAGACTAGTTTATCTCCGGCTCGGAGACGACCGTCGCTTACCGCTGCACCCTGAACAAACAAATGAGTATTACTTTAAGGGATTTCATGACCTGGTAACTAAGACCTTTAGGTCAAGTCTTGTTTTAATTTATATTCTTATTTTTATGAAAAATGATATTTTGGAATTAAATGAGATGAGATATGGGACGTAATATAATCTCAGTAAAATCGTAGTCATTTACTGAGACTTTTTCAGTGGACTTTTTGTAGGATCCCGAGAAGTTACGTCCAGCGGCTTTGTTTTATTTTCCCACATTTAAGTATGCACTTTTATAGATAGTAAATAGTTAATAAACCACCGTTATTACACATTTAAACCTGAAGATACACTAAATAAATAGACAAACTAAAACAAATCACACAATTTCACTCCTTGCATTTCCGCCAAAAAGTCAAACTGAGTATTAAATATTTACTGTACACAGAAAATACAATCATAAAAAGTACATATTGTTTTGTTTTTTAATATTATACGGCCAGCTTAAGACGTAAAGAAAGAGGCAGACTTAAAAAGAAATGGATGGAATGCGTGAAGGATGAGATGCGTAAAAGGGGAAGGAGCGAATAAATGGTATATGATAGAGGAGTATGGAAGGAGAGACAAGCATTACTGAAAAACCTATATGTCTACGCAGCGACTTGTACATTTGGCAGTGCTCTAGGGAATTGTTTGAGATGATCTCCTTTCCGGCTCAGACCATCCGGCGCTGACATGATCTCTTAAAAGGTGTTCCCTGAGCGCTACGAAATACTATTATCTAAAGGCGGTTTGAAATGAGTCCTTAGTGATGATACGCGATTTGATTCAGCCTTATAGCTAATTTCATGAGCAGCGGTAACCATCAGAAGCGCTGTTGGCTGGTCTGCTTAATAATACAATAAAAATACGTGATCTTCTATTTTAGAAAATTAATTCGCCGCGAATTCTGGATTAGCTTTTTTGATCTTATTATGGAAACTGCTTTTTCAAACTCTACTGTATCTACTGTATCTCTTTTAATCAATTATTTAATTTATGTTACTACTAAAAGCTGTTTGATACAAACGTGACCTACCTTTGGTAAAATATTCTTGATATAAATAGGGCAATGTCCTCCGGTAGGGTTGTCCCTTGTCGTGATCGTGAAGCCAAGTCCCTTCTCGCCCTTGACCAGAGTTACGGAAACGGTTTGTGTGGCGCCACCAACGTGCTTAGTGCTCGGACTCACGGGTACTTCCAGCCCTGTAATCGCGCGTTCGCTTCCCCCTGCAATATTACATCAACAAATATATCGCACCTTTAGAATACTAGTGGTCCCCCCGTAGTCGAAATTCGACTATAATTAATTGAAATTATAGGTTTATACACTGTTACGATTCTATTGTCAAAGACTATTATTATACTTCTATAATGACAGATTTTATCAAGACTACCCACACTTTAGACAAATATTAATAAAGACATACAATATTTAATCTATTCTCAGTTTGACCACAGACTATAGGCAATAACAAAAGTTTGACTATAACAAACAGTATGCATGCGTGTGTGTGTCAAATACACGGTAGTGTGTGTAATGTTTTTTATTATTGATTTAATATATTGTTTATGCATAATTGAAAAAAATATTAACATTTTAGACTCCTATCTCTATATTCTCTATAAGTGTGGGAAATTTCATACTCCTCCGTCCACGCGATTTTCGTTAACAGGGGTACAAAGTTTTTGCTTCACGTCTTTGGAAAACATCGAGTGAAGTTTTCAAACCGAAAAGACGTAGAGGGGACGGAGCGAAAGAGAGCGATGGATAAGTTTGTTCCTTTATAAGCTACTTTCGATCATTTGATTATTAAGAGTTGCTGAAAAGGGTCGTTTTAGCTCCATTTATGAATTATGAAATGGGTCTATAATTAATAGGCGCGATATTACATTATATTTAAATTTTATAACGTTAGATTCGTAGACGAATGAACTTAGTCACTAATTACAAATTAATCTAATGAATCATTAATATTGTCGACCTTAAAAGCGTTGTATATCGAGATTTAATTAGGACTTCGACCTGATACTGCTTCGGAATTGGTGGCCGGATCCGCACTGTGATGTCTATGGGCTCCTCTATTTACGTTTATATATAGCGCGATGTGGTAGATGTACCATATGAGTCGTCTATTATCAAAGGTGGCAATCTGTACATTTGGACAAAAATTTTTTATTGATATGTCAATACAGATTTATTTGAATATAATCGTCTCCTTCAAAGAATACGGTTCAAAACCTGCATTAAATAAAGGTTAATAGTTAACCTGTTATTTATCTAAGATGTCGTTCCGAAGAGTTTTGTGACTGCCAATGGAATACAAAGTCAATAATTCGTTTTTCTGATTTACCAATCATTGTCCAAAAGTCAGATTGCCGCCTTTGATAATAGTCGACTCATATGGTCCTTTGATGAGCCGAGATCGTAGTAGTAGTGATAGTAATGCATATTTAAGACTGTGGTTTAATGTACCTTCAGGTAAGAGATCGAGAGGGCGCTCTTGAACTGAATGAGCACTGGCCACGTTGTTAACTCCCGTCACCCATCGGAGCATGTCTTCTACTCTGTGAATTAAAAAAAAAAACAATATAAATGGGACTTTTTGGCGGGAACGCGAGGAGTGAATTTGTGTAATTTGTTTTATTTTGTCTATTTAGTGTTTCTTCAAGTTTGAATGTGTAATAACGGTGGTTTATTAAATGTTTAATATTTGCCAAAGTGCACAAATGTGGGAAAATGAAACAAAGCCGCTGGACGTAACTTCTCGGGATCCTCCAAAAAGTCCAGTAAAAATCTCAGTAAATGACCACCATTTTACTGAGATTATATTTCATCCCATATCATCTCATTTCATTTAATTTCATCCCAGTTGATTAATGTCTCAAATTAATCATCTTCACTCCCTATTTTTATTTTTCATAAAAATAAGAATGTTAATTAAAATAAGACATGACTTAAAGATCTTAGTTACCAGGTCATAAAATCCCTTAAAAAAAACAATATAAATGGCATTCGTATCTCGAGCTTTAGTCACATGACTATTGACAAGTTTTTCTTTAAAGTGGTTTTATTATTGTGATTACAGGAACTCATAAAGACCAACATGAACGCCGCCATTTTCAGATACGACTTCCAAAATTTTAATACACTACATAACAACTGCAACATCACGGCCAGAGTAAGTACAGATGGTAACTGCCCGTGCTGCTCTCAATGAACTCTATAACCACAAATAAAAACTATGTTCACGAGTGCTAATAGCCAGTAAGATTTAAATTCGATTTCAAAACAGAAATATAACTGGCATTGTTAAAATGCTTTTCTTAACTTCAGTTAAGAAATCTTGGATGTAAATTTCAATTTTATGTTAACTGAATAATTAATTGATATGCTTATAGAAGAGTTTATTAAAAGATTTGCAGGTTTTTTTTTTTAAATAGGTTGTTATAAATATCCGTTTAAAAAGTTAAATCGGTTGATATAAATATCCTTTTAAAAATTTAAATCGGTTAGTATAAGTATCCGTTTTTTAGTGTTTCGAACTATGTATAAGAATATTTTATCGGAACCAAGAATAACACAAGACATAATAAAAAATAAATAAAAAAGTTCCACAAGACTTACCTATGGTTTTGATGGTCGTTAACAGAAGACGTGTCCTGTCCCAGCGGCTCTCTCCTGGCGTCGCGCGGTAAGCTCTTGCTGCCGTAACTCTGTATTCGTTCGGCTGCATCTAACCACACGCCACTCCTACGAAAGAATACCAACCAATACATTTGTAAATTAATACATTAAAACGTACTGCGAAGAAGCATACGAAGCTGTTCTTGACAAAGTTGAAGAGGAAAGTATTTTATAAATGACTTATTTTTCTGTATTGATAACAAAAACGCAAACACTATTTTTACCATAAAATATTTTAGTCATATATAGGAAAATGAGCTCTATCTAGTGTCATTAGGAGTCTACACAGCGGCAGAATGTAAACGCCGTCGCTCACCTTGAGTCATAAGGACGAATTTTTAATTCATTTGTGTAACGACTTACAGAACTTTGTAGTAGAAATATGCAGGACATTTTTGTCGTACAGTGTGGCAGTATCTTGAATAGTGCTCTAAAGAGTTATTCGAATTTGAAATGACTCGGGCATTATACCTAATCACCTTAAATTTTTTACGTCATACCATTAAGCTTTAGAACTAGTTAACTAACTATTAACAAGATGACGCCAAAAGTCCGCATAGTAATAGTACATTAGTATTGCAACGTCTAAATACCTCCAGAAATTGCCCAACTTTATAAGACGATCTTTCTTCAAACGAGATTAGTCTTAAATGGTAAGCAACTAACGTCCTAATGTGACCTGTAAAGTAAACTAAGACTAGATTTATATTTACCCTGGGCCGGAAAACTGCATAGATAACCTATTAGACTGCCTCTGGAAGTGTTGACCGGAGTGCCCGTGTCGTTCGACATTGGAGTCCGGCTGTCGTCCGTCGGACATCGGATGCACTTTCTGCGTGATGCGGGTGCAATCGTCTCGTCCGACCACCGCCGCCGACCAGCGTTTCGTCTGTTCTGACACCTGAAAGAAGCATCAGCAAAATTTTCATCGACACAGCCCACTGAATTTCTCGCTGGATCTTCGCAGTGGATCGCGTTTCCGATCCAATGGTAGATTCTGCGAAGTAATACTATTGCTAGGGCCAGTGTTAGCAACACTCCCGGCTTGAACCCCGCGAGCTTACCTATTTTGGTGAATCTAGAATAGCCCGTCGAAGTTACTAGAATAGGTAGGAAAAAAAACAAAAATACGCAAAATCAGTTCAGTTTTATTCAAAAAACGAATATTAGAAAAAATATGTGCTCTCAATTAAGAATCATCATCATCAATTAGGAAAAGAAAGAAAAGATACCCACCCACCTTACTCCTTTCCGCAACTAAAACATTCTGCTTCGTTCCGTTATTGAACTAAAACGTAATTAAATTAAGCTTTACTCATCAAATTCGATACGAAACGTTTGTGTGTGCGTCAAAATCATATTTGATGACGTCATACTATATGGCACTTATAGACGTCATTCTTGACCGCGATTTCATATTTTGCAGTATTTGAATATTTCTGATTATTAGGAGTATTTTTTTTTTATTTTGACACAATTAATATTAGTAAACAAAGAATTGTTATTAAGCGGATTAAAATCATGTTGATAGCGCCACAGCTTAATTAAAATAGTCTTCACACAATAACTTGATTACAGCGTAATTAGCTACATAATAATATACGTAAGTATAACGGTTTTAATATTAAGCTTATAGCTGCTCCGTACCTGTCTTTGGGGAGGTAAGGTATCCTGGTGTAAGGATGGTTCACTGCCTCGTCTGACCTGCAGCCCATTAACGCCATCTTCGAGGTCAGCCTCGCCCACCTCCACACAGGAGTCAGGGTGGGGAACCCGAATGCTCCCACCGACCCCACCGCCTCCCTGCAAAAAATGTTATTTGCCTATGATATGCAGAACATAGTATCTATATATAACACATACATATATGGACCACCTTTTTTATTTCTCTAGGTAGATACTACAAAAGGTAATTACATAGATTTTGTCGAATTCATTTTAAGATACTTTGTAATTTTTTCACGGTGATAGTCGTTCCTAAACATATATTACTTATCTATTTACTAAGAAAAATTGAACCCTTTCCACAGGATTAGTCTTGGTATAGTTGCATGACTGCATGATAATTAGATTACAATTTAGAGACGTCATTAAACCTAGACGATAGCTTCGCCCGTTTTTTTTTTCAGATTAACCAATTTAGCTTAAGATTAGTTTAAGATTAAAACAACCAAAGAATAGAACCGCACATCCGGTCTTTTCCCATAGGTAACAATGACTAAGAGATTCACTGGAGAAGGGGTAGCAATTTTCTCAGAGTTTTATGTCAGAGTAAAATAAAAAAGATAGTCAACAGGAATTTACTGGTGGTAGAGGGAATTATAAACCTGCGCGGGTAGGTACCTACCACTCCCCTACCTATTTCTACCACGAAGAAGTACGGCGTTCTGGTTTGAACGGGAAACCTATTAACAATACAATTAGGAGTTCAACCTCAAATCTTAACGTGGTAATATCTATGGGATCCGGTAATCACTCAACAATAGATGATACGTAAACTCGTACATACATCTGCGCAATAAAAAAATGAAACATTTCTTAAATAATATCTTCCGTTATTTTATTTCCCTTGCGATTTTGTTTTTAATATGGTCACGTATTTTCACAATTCTAACACTACTGCAGTTGTACTGTAGACAAAAAAGCGGCCTTCAATAATCGACATTCAATGGACCGTACTTTCCGTTCGTGTTCTTGCAACATCAAATACTTTTATAGCAATCCTGTACCTTCGGCAAAACTACGGTCTTGGCATGCGTAACTACATTTAAAATATTCCAGATTTATCAGTAAAAGACATTTGAAAACAAATATAGCATATTATTTTAAATTCTAATAAACTTTTCATTGTAAGTATAAGTCATATTTCCTCACTTAATATTATAAATGTGAAAGTGTGTTTATTTGTTTATTTGTGTGTTTGTTTTCCTTCTTTCAATTCGAAACGAAGCAACGGAGTGACATTTTTTTTAAATGATAGCTTTAGATCAGGAGAGTCACATCGACTACTCTCATTCTCAGGAGGAAGACAGACACTTTTCCTTGATCACGCAAACGAAGCCGCGGGTAACATCTAGTAAAACTATAAGATATTTTGTTGAAGAGTCCATCGTAAATTTCTATGTCTTTAATATGTATTGATCAATAAGTCGTTGTCGTTTGGAATAAGAATTCACAAGTCTAGATCTATTTTCAAGTATAAGTGCAGCTTATACCTGGTTGAACTTAGTGCGTGCAGGCAGCGTAATCCTGTTAGCCTAGTTTCTATGATGGTTTGTATGAGGGGCGTGGCAACAATCATGCTCAATGTGTACAAAGTCTACAGGCTTAGAGAATAAATATCGAACTACACGTATGTAGGTACTTGTTCGTATGAATGCGGAGCAACTTTTTGCATTCAATATCCAGCGTGATCAAAGCCAGGCAGCATTGATCTTAAGCCTTTCTAGATACGAGTACCGGTAAAATGCGAGCGTGGATTCGTTTGTATTTAATATTTAGGAAAGTTATGCTTTCGGATAAAAATAGTTAGTTAAAAATGAAATACGTCAGACAGTCGTAATTAGTTCGACATTTTACTTTACGTACTGCCCATATAGGTTGATGCCTGGTCTAGCTAGGTACGAGTATATAGGGATATTACGTACGAATGATTTTTAAATAAATAAATAAAACTTATAATAAAATAAATACAAGCGAAATTTATAAATAGATGTAATTACTGGCGCTATGGTATTGTGAGTCCTCTCACCTCAACGCAGGTATCGCAAGTAGTCATGAGGTGCGATTTCACGTTGTAAATGTCTTTGACATGAATAAAACTTCGACTCAGGCCATTTAAAATGAAATTATTGGTTGTATATTAATTTTTAATAATTTGGTATTTGTCTTATATTAAATTGATATGCATGAACGCGATTTATCACGAACACTTGATAGTTTTATACGTGCATGTCCAATCATGAAAAAGATAATCGTAAATTTTATTGTTTTTATAATATTATAAATATCATTATTTAACTGAATTTAGTACTATAATAAAAAAAACTTTAGATAATAAGTATGAATGCATTTTCACAATTGCACTCACCTGTTTCGCATTTTGTGAACAAGTACATGAATAACAAGTTCCCATTTTGAAGCAACAAAAATATGAACACGATGTTTTGCGATGAAACATTTCACGATTTTATTTCAAGTAATCTATGTGAAACAAATTTAAACAAGTTACGACTTGTATGTATTTAGGTACGGTATATCTACCTGATCTATTTATTTCCAAGTCGTAAATTTTCCCGCCAAATGCATTCGATTTTTTTGGCAAAAGCAAACATTACATTCAGCCAATAAAAAAAAAAGATTCTCAACAAGTACCTAAATGAAAAATGCTGGTTTAAAATTTATTTTCGCAAGGAGTGAGAAGTGCGCAAGATCGAAAGAAGTTTAAACATTTCATCGTGGCGTAATATTAACACTACGACATCAGATGTATCGAATAATTTACAGTGTTGCAGTAAAGTATTTACTTATTATTTATATTTATTATTATTTCACTAAGTGAAATATTGATATTTTGTGTTAGGAATGAAGAAAATAAAACTAACATACCCGAAACATGTCAGGAGAAGCAGTGCCAGCTGATGATCCACTAGCGCCATCTGCTTGTGCCGCCCTTGGTTGAGGCGTTTGACTGGTACACTCAGCGGTGAGGGTTTCACGGTCGTCGGCGACATCACAAACTCGATCATCCGGATCTAGAATGCCACCGGAATTGGCTCGAAGAGCTCGAACTCCAATCCACGTTTCTGGACCCTATAATTAAAATAAAAAATAAAATTTAGTTTAAGAATTTAATAAAGCGTATACAATGAACTCCCAATAAATCGTTTAAAGATGGATTATTGCAAATGTTTTATGAATTAATTCTCACATCAAGTTCTAAAACAATTGTTCATTTCCATAAAACTAAGATTTTTAACGTTACAATACTGACTATATCTTATCCATAAAAATACCCTTTGAAAATCATGGGATTGTGAATAAAGGAAAGTATTCTTTTTTTAAATCAAATCTAATTATTTTTTGGAACGAAGTTCCTTACGGCAGGCTTGGAGGGGATAGGGATTTTGCTGCGCGACCGAACTGAAAAAAATGTGATAGTAAAAACGTAAGAAAAAATCCGTGGAAAAAAGTGCGTGGAATAAAACCGTTAAATGAGACGTGCGCAGGCGCGACAGTCGTATACACAAGCGAGTAGTGTATAATACCTTTCTCTTTCTCCCTCTTTCTTTTCGTTCTCTCATCCCTTCTCTCTCTATTTTGTAATTATTTCTATTTCTATGTAATTTTACGTTGTCAAACAAAAATAAAGAGACATATTTTGTTATTTTAATTGATAATTTGAATTACGATTTTATTTTTATTTTACGTAATTTATTATTTCCTAAAATACTGAATTTCCTAAATACTTTCCTGTACTTAAATAAAAACTAATCAGCAAAATTTAAGAGAAAAATCAAGAAAACCAACATAAAATTGAGCACGATATTTTTTTTGCAAATTGTGTCGATTCTACATTAGCCGAAGGAACTTCGTTCCTACCTGGTGTCCCACGACACCACATTTTTTATTATATGGATAAAGAACAACTAAACCAACTACATAAATTTTACATAACAAACAGTAAAGATATGTCATAAAGTGTAATGTCGTGGAATGATGTAATAAAAAAAAGATCTGGTAAAATCTTGTCTCCGAAAACTCAAGAGCAAATGGTATTATAAGTAAATTATTATTATTAAAACCATGTTTATGAACAAATTCATTTTCTTGTTGCATCGATGCGTCAAAGAGCTCAAAGCCTACCTCGTGTTAAGTAACCTGTAGATATTAGTACCTTAATAACGCCAATCACTTTGAAACATGAGGTCTAAGTCTGAATTGAATAGTACAACCGCTGAATCACCTTTCAAAACCAAGCGTGGCAGAAATGGACAGAGCAGTGGTTTCTATCCTTGCGAGCATGTTGCGAGCTAAAAAGGCACCCTATAACCAGAAATTGCTCAAGTTATATCTTACGACTTTTATTAAATGATGTTATTCTTTCCCCGTGCAATTTATTCGTGAGCATGTATTGAGTATGTAAGTATTTCATTAAAAAAATTTGTATCTACCCGCGGGATTTGAGCAACGGCAGGCTGATCCCTCGATACGAGTAGTACAGCGGGCTTTTTTAAGCCACCACAACGTCTAGTATCTACTACTGTCATACTGTCACTAACCATTTCATAAATAATAACCGTATGGCATATATAAATAACATATTATATAATATTTTTTAGCCTTGTGAGAGTTTAAAATTCAGAGGAGAATCTTCGCCAATTTAAGACAGTGAAATTAAAATTTCAGAAATACTAAATGGTTTAATATCATTTACTAATAAATCTTGTTAACTTAATTTTGTAGTTTTTATCTAAAGTCTCTAAGCATGTTTCTGAGAGTCTATAATCGAAACTATGAGCATTAAAATTAACCCGTTCCATAGATTAAATAGTATTTAGTAGTTTTATATTTATTTTTTATTGCTTAGATGGATGGACGAACTCACCGCTCATCTAGTGATCACCCTTAGATATAAACAACGCAAATGCTGCCACCCACCTCGAAATAGTTTTAATGTCTCAGTTTTTACAGTACAACGGCTGCCCCACCCTTCGAACTGAAACGCATTACTGCTTCACAGCAGCGTAGACAGAGAGTGGTGGTCCTCACCGATGCAAACTTACAAGACGTCCTACCGCTTTTAATACTTTAATGTGGTATTATTTCTATTTATAATATTTAGGTAAATAAAAGTTATTTTTGGATCCTTTAATACTATCCATTAAAAAAAATCCTGACAAAATTGAATTGCGTAAAAACTCATTGTTCGATTCCGTTTTGTGTTTTTGTTTTCACAACCAACATAATAAAGCAGGAACCGAGATGTTCCCACGCAGTATTTATTTTGCTCTGTATTCATCTCAGTGAATGGCTCGATCTTGTCTGTGTGTGAGTGTGTGTGTATCTTGTGTTTTGTATGGCTCGTCGTCAGCCATTGTTTGTATGTCAATTCTACGCGATGTCAACTCAACGGCTTTTTATGAGGCGTATTTTTATCATAACCAAACTATAGAAATGGTAGAGCTGTGTTTCGAAGAAGAAAAATAAAATTACTTGATTATTTATAATACCTAATCAAAAAGATTAAACATCTACCAAGTAGGTAATACTTCTTTTATAAGATTATTCCAGTTTTTGGAACGAAGTTCCTTAGGGGGCGACCCTAACCGAGAAAAAACGTCCGCAACGTAAGATTTTTACTATTTATGTTATAGTCTTAGTATGATGGCTATACAGTGTCTAATGTATAGTCTAGGTGATGATGGTTATTACTATTATTCATATAAATAGGTGTTTCTTTGTAAATTATTATTATATATCTTTTATAAATCATTGTGAATAAAATAAAGTTGATAACTTTGTAAAGTAGTTTTTATTTTATTTTTATCAATAAAAAATCATAATAAAAAATGTATACCCGAATAATTTTTTTCTTTATACCTCGAATAGAACTTAAAATTAATATTTTTATAATAAGGAACTTCGTTCCTATCCGGTGTCCCACGACACCACACATCATTTTTTTCTCTCAACAACGTATAATAAAAAAACACTGGAACGCATAAATTCAGGCAACTGAACTTTATTATTGAACTAATAGAAAGTAATTCGTACCCATGTAACTGATCTTCGAGTTGGTTCCTTAGCGCGAAGTCGTGCCAACTTCTTGAGTCTTGGTGGTGGTACTGGAGTAGCTAGCGCTAGAGCAGAATTATCCATTCTAGCATATCCTCATCCGAACGAACGGAATCACTTTTATTTCACATTTTAACGTCATAGCCTTCGATTACACTCACTTAACACAGAGAAGCGGTGGAACGAAAATAACGCTGTTTTAATTAATAAAGAAACAAGTATTCAGTAAGTGGAACTCTTCGCTTCACTCGTGCTACTGATTTGCATGAGTGAAGCAAAGCGTTTAGAGGATAGGTCAGTGGCGCGAACAAAACCTTGGCCTTCGCGCGTCGGTGACCAAACACAGTCTCCCACTCGCGTGCCCGCCACCAGATGCTATAGGCAGTGAGTGATACGCTCCATGAGAGGAATTGTGAATCATAACTGTAAATCGTATACTTTTATCTGGGACATAATACTATTTTTAGAGTATATACACTATTATGGCGTTAGTAGCCAATTTTTCAGAATATTAATATCTAGTTAGCGGTTTGTTTATCGTTTTAACGTACTCGGTGAGATTTGTATTAGACGTATTGTTTTTCAATCAATTTCTTCTAAATCTAATAAATTATTGCCCGTCGACATTCATTAATAACTGTGAAACAAAATTAGCTTTTGGAATGATGTACATTTTTCAAAAGATTACAAATCACAGCCTATATGCAGATGCCAATTATGGTTTATCGAAAGAAAAAAATGTTGAAACATGCAGAAACTATCAAAGTACAATCAATAAACACACAACTCAACGCTTTCCAAGAAAATACGACAGTAAAGAAGCCGACGACATCCTATCAACTTACAAAGTTGTTTATTCAATTTTTAATCGCAGTTCGAAATAAGTTAGAAGTAATGCTATTTACTTTGTTGTCTCACCGATCACCGATGCCAGTGCCAACGTCAGCAATACCAGGGGCACAACTGAGCCGCTGCATATAGCTTTGGTTTACTTTTATACGCTAAGTACGGTTTTACGCAGCCTTGCCGTAATAAATGGTGTCATGCAACCTTGGTTGTTGTCTTGACAAAAATAACACTGCTGTTTATCACAGTTTGCCATACGTATATGGCATGGTAATGACTATTCATGAACTATTATCTAAGTAGATACAATTTGCTGATGCCCTAACGCGGCGCCGAAGTATGGACGGAAATGCACGCCCGTTCGGTCTAAAAACACGTGTACCGAATAACAAATGGATAACGTTACGTCAAACGATTATAAAACTGAATTAATAAATTAGTTCAAAACTCTATTAAGTACGATAGTATTTAATTACAGAAAGAGCCTACACAATATCATCATTAAAACAGATGACTTCATTATCGCAATTTACAGTGATTATGACCCTCATACGTTCTAATGATTCATTCGTTAAGTCCAACCATTTTAGGTCAGTTGATTTTGTTTGAAGTTCTTTTGATCAGTCTAACTCTGTTGATAGACCACGAATACATAGAGCAGACCGGTCGGAGACGTAGGTACAATGTTGCAGTTAATGCCTCAAGGCAAGTCGCGAAATTGTTATGCAAATAAATGATTGCACTCACACTTACAATTTGAATGTTTAGAAGTATGGCACAATTCCTTTTTACTTATCTACTTTAAATGAAAACGACCACTTTTTTTTCTTGAATATAAAGAGAATCACTCCCTAGAACTTCATATTTACAAGGATTCGATAGGTCAGGAAAATAATTAGACAAAAAAAATTTTTGTTTTGAATATAGCAATTCAGTACAGCACAAATACACCAAGAACTAGATGAAATGTTTACTCATGACCTAGAAGGACTGAATGCTTCGCCAACTCAACAAGAAAAATAAATTACAGAATATTAATTAGTCGAATCTTGACACAAGTATTTTTGTGTAATCGCTCATAAAAGGAGGTACCAGCTTTTCTATCACAGCACAATCATATTCACTGTTGTTTATACGATTTTCACATAAAAAAAATAAGGGTAATCGATTTTCTTTTTTTCGTAAACCATTAACGAATGAATTTTAGTTCTTTTTTATTTCGGACATAGTGCGAATCGTGAACGCACAAACACGCTTCGTCGCGGTACATTCACAACTGAAGAGTCAACTGAACTGAACAGTTGAAGCCGTCTACCGAGCCGGTACGATTAGAAAGATCTTCAACGACGACCACAAATAAAAACTGAACGATAACACTGCTGAACCGCGATCTATCTAATGTATTTTCAAGGTTTGCAATATGGGGTAACAAAAAGTGAACACAAGTCGTGTGCCACACGGCTATTTTTACTGCTCAACGGGTAATAATATTTCGTTCTCATTTAAAACACGTACGACATTTTTGTAGCTTCAATTTTCCAAATCATCACTACAAATGCATACTAATTATCATATTGACAATAAAAATATTCGTGTCACATCGATTAGTAGTTACAACTTATTTCATAACAATCGTGATAAGTTAACTGTGAATATTTTACGGTAAAAAAGCTGACAATGTAATTTATAAACAATTTTAATGCACTAAAATAAAATAAAATTAAATAGTAGATACGTTAGTTTTTTTTTCTTCTAAATCTATAGTTTCACACTGGTAAATATATATTTCGTATTTAACGACAGCAAATAGGTGTTTCTTTTGAAATTTAAATGCAGATTTTTTTAAAGTTGCTTTGATTCTATTTATTCAAACAACCTTTATCAAACCAATAATAACATCAATCTGATTCGAATATATTTTCCAGTAAGACAATCTTTCTTGAGTGTAATGTTTTAAACAATCCACTTAATTCAAGTGGTAGTTCGTACCCATAGTCTGCGGAGTGCATTTCATAATTAAATCAAGAAAACCACCAGTAAACCATTTGTAAACACAGAGAAAACTTAACGGTTAATGAATACACTAGCACGAATACCGTTATTATAAAGCATTGAATAAACTACTATAGAATTATTATCAGCCTGTAATAACGCGTATCTGCTTGTCTGTATTTCTTAGCTATCTGTACTAAGGTGGAAATGACAATGTTGGAGTTACGTAGGTATTCCATTTATGAAACCAATTGCCAATCGCGTTTTGTGCCTTTGTGGTCACCTATTACGATAGGTGATTCGCTGTTTGCTTTTGCCATCTAAGGTAATAAAAACACGATATTTACATTTTGAGAATATTAGTTAGTACGAGGCGAGATAAGCTAAATTTAAATGTAAAGTTTTAATGAAATGAACGAATTAAGTTGGAGAATGATATCGAAACACACGTTCAAAAGGAGAAACCATTCAAAAAGATAAATAAGTACATATTCCACAAAATTACAGAAATCGAGGAACTGGTAGTTCAAACCCATAATTTGAGAGACAGGTTAGCTATTGAGTCACCTTCAACTGATTATTACAAATGAGCCGTTAGAAGAGCATATTATTTACGTTCGTAGATTGATAATTTAGACGCCGTTGCTTGATTTATGATGGTTGATGCCAGCTAGAAGACTTGCTTCTCATTCGATACCCGCAGAAAGAGAAGGTGAAAAGGTCTGACCAAAAAATTGGTGATTTTTGAAAATAGAAAAATCTCATTTCTGTGTTTAAGTTTCATTTTGGTTGACTGTGCCTGTTGTGTAATTATCGTAATAGAATAATTTTGTATTTATCGAGACCGCTCGTATGCCAGTCGTGTAACGTTAATGTACCTATCCCTCCTCAAAACGCTAATACCAAAAGTAGTCTCAATTAACTAATGAAAACGATTGAATAGGTGTAAGACGAACAAACACAGTCTCGGATATTAATTTTTATACATTAAAAGATTATTTAATAGATAAAAAAATCCACCTGTCAATCAGTTCTTTGTAGTTTGCCTAAGATAAAATAAACTATAGCGATTTGCAATTCTATTTTTAGCGGGCTAATCATCTGCTCTTACGAGATTTGAAAATGCGAATCAAATCTATGTTATTGAAACCGGCGTTCTATAAATAATACTACGACTTACGAGTATTAGTATTTTTGCTTGTAGTAAACGCAGACTGTTTTTTTTTAATTTTTTTTTTATTTGGTATACTTTGAGTTTATATAAATTTACATTAACGTGGTCTTAATCGAGCCGTTGGGTCAACGGTCGACTGCGACATGGAAGGGTCAATGTAAATCTTAAAACTAATGAGGGGTTCACATTGGGGATACACAATAATGTTTTTTTTTTTTTTTTATTGCTTAGATGGGTGGAGCAACTCACAGCCCACCTGGTGTTAAGTGGTCACTGGAGCCCATAGACATCTACAACGTAAATGCGCCACCCACCTTGAGATATAAGTTCTAAGATCTCAGTATAGTTACAATGGCTGCCCCACCCTTCAAATCGAAACGCATTACTGCTCCACGGCAGAAATAGGCAGGGTGGTTGTACCTACCCGTGCGGACTCACAAGAGGTCCTACCACCAGTAATTACGCAAATTATAATTTTACGGGTTTGATTTTTATTACACGATGTTATTCCTTCACCGTGGAAGTCAATCGTGAACATTTGTCGAGTACGTATTTCATTACAAAAATTGGTAGCTGCCTGAGATTTAAACATCGGTGCATCGCTCAACACGAATGCTCCGGACGCCTTATCTTTTAGGCCACTACGACTGGTATTAACATTTAACAAAACAAAAAATCTTTCTTCTAGTAAGCACTGTGGACTACTGTACCACGGGATCGAGTCTCGGCTGGATTCTCAGCAGTATCTTTATCGAAAACATACATATGGCATGCGGAGACTACATTATTACTTCTAGGAGATTTTCGTCCTTTGTTACAAAATATTAGTGTGCACCCACGCTGTATTGTACGTACAAAATGTTTACAGTGGAAGTTCGGGTTTTTAGATAGTTGGAACACCAAATTAAGATAAGGGAGTAAGTAGTTTTTGTTAGTCAATGTGACGTGTTGTAGAGCCGTATAAGCAAACAAACTGTATAAACCTCTAGTTACATTATTAGTATCATCGATTAAGTAACATGTTTAATTTATAAAAAATTAGAACAAACTAGTTTGATAGTTGTGTTACTATATATATTACATATAATTATTTAATTATGTCTTATTTTTTAACATTAATAATTATTTATTATGAGCTCTACATACCATTTTCGTAACAATTAGTATGGCGCATGATTATTATAAGTTACGTAGTTAGTAATTAATGAAAAGTTTTTCGTCGAAAGTAATTTATTTATATATCTGAATTATTGCAATGACGAATTCCCTGCGTAACAATAAGTACACAATGAACAGGGTGTAAAAATATATTTTGGATAAATATGTAAAGTACGCAAATTGGTTTAAATTTTACTTCGTTTTCATTTGTTAGCTTCAAATTAATATAACAATAATTATTAGTCGAATGCTATTGAAAATTTTCCCAAGAAATATGACTTCAATTTAAATAGTGTTGAGAACACAAATTTTTTTTTTCATTAACGCTTTTTTTATTGTTCACAGCCTACCTGGTGTTAGGTGTTTTTTTTCAACTTCACTTTAGCGTGTAGGTGAGCTCCCGGGGCTCAAACCGGAGTGTTGCTAACACTGACCATAGCACGACCAGTGCTCCGCAGAATTTACCACCGGATCGGATACGCGACCCACTGAGAAGATGTGGTGAGAAACTCAGTGGGCTGTATCTATGGGTTAATTTAATCGTCGAGTCCTTCGTCGCAAGCGACGGGTTCGGCGAGGACGGTGACCGGTGCTTGAGGTGTTAGGTGGTTAGCCCGTAGACTTCAAAAACATCAATGCCGTCTCCCGCCTTGTAAGTTGTAAGTATCAGTTTTATACTACAACGACCGTAAACCGAAACGAATTACTGCTTTGCGGCAGAAATAGGCAGTGTGTTGGTACATACCCGTGCAGGCCCACAAGAGGCCCCACTACCAGTAAAAAAACATATTTCGTGTCTCATATGTGTTAGTTAAATTTATTTAGTCACAATGTTAATAAAGGTGGCCTTATCAAGCGATACCAGCTTAAGCACACATGTAATTTATATTTTATACGTAGACACTCAGGAATGTGTTACTGATTAGTATTACAAGGTCGATAGAAATCATTTTATTCTTCTTACGGACTTNGAGGCCCCACTACCAGTAAAAAAACATATTTCGTGTCTCATATGTGTTAGTTAAATTTATTTAGTCACAATGTTAATAAAGGTGGCCTTATCAAGCGATACCAGCTTAAGCACACATGTAATTTATATTTTATACGTAGACACTCAGGAATGTGTTACTGATTAGTATTACAAGGTCGATAGAAATCATTTTATTCTTCTTACGGACTTAAATATAATAAATAATGATGTATCCCATAATGCATTCACAATTAGAACAATAATTAAAATAGTTCAATGACCCGTTTGCGTGAATCGCAAAGCAGTTATACCTTTAATCGACAAAGTAATTGCACCTTATGAGTGAGTGTTGATTTAATGAAGTGCTTTCCAACACTTTCAGATCACAAAAGAGATTTGTGAAAGTTATGTTGGCAACAACATTCATTTCGAAGCGAAATTTGATGTTAGGGAAACCCACGACAATATTCGTGCATTTAAGGTAACCTTAAGTAGGTATTTCCTGAACTATATTTCATTATATAAAAAAGGTACCTTTATACTACTTTGACTACAATAACAATGCAGACTCACAGATAGAAGGTTCTATGTCCAACCTTTTTAATCAAACGTAAGTTGAATGAATCTGAAATTTAGATTACTTAAGCGTTTATCTAGAAAAAAACATACGAAACCTAAAAAGATAAATTATTACCCAATTCAGCTTGTTTTAATGAACATTAATTTTAAATTTCACGGCAGAATAATTTGTATATGATAAACAAATCTTAATGGTTTTTTTAAAGACGCTTAAAACGCTCATAACTGGAAATGAATCTATGTATCTATCTACGAGTCCATTGATCTCACCGTTTCAGCGCCCTGGGGCATAATGCTCCTCTGTAGCTTCTGCACAGGATAAGTCTGTCTCCATCCGAACAGCCTCACAAGCTTGTCGGCCACATCTTCACATCGCGCTGTCGATTCCTTCATTTTAATTCACTTCACCATTCACTGTTCACTTCGGTTCACTAAATTATACGCTCAAACGCCAATCAATTATTAATCTTACGACAACGTTTTCACTGTGAAAATTAATTATCCATTCTGTCACTCCCCTAGTTTCACAATTCATTACACAAATTATGTGCCGATAACTGTTATCTAACTAGCTAAATAAGCAAACATCTCAAGACTCACAAATGTGGGTTTAAAAACGTAATTGCGATACAGCGCGCGACGCTTTCTGCGGTCTCCACAATGCTCCGTTATCGCTGCCATCGCGTTATCTGGCTATCACCGCCCCTCCATACCTAAGTAAGTACCTTCACTTCCACACAGAAACACGTCTGCTCCATCCACAATCTTATTGCACTACTAGCAAAATTGCAACAGTAAAAATATTGACGAGGCAATTATTCGTTTGCTTAATTAGACAAGTTCCAAACCAAAAGACAAAGAAGGAATATCGACGAAGAAGCACAATACTCTATTAACGCTAATTAGAATGTACACGACACACTCTTGTCCATAAGTAAGTAGAGCGAGTAGAAAGGAAGAGTGTCGTGTTTCGTTTGCTTTTTCACGATTTGATTTGTCATGTGAAAATAAAAATAATTCACTACACACGTAGAGAATGTTAAATTACAATTTTAGATATTTTTTTGAAGATCAAAACAGTAGAATGTTTGCTTTTACTTTCGAATATTTTAATTACACATTATAATCGCATAATGCTTCTCATGTGAGCCGAATGTGAGCATTGTTTTAAGAATGCACGAAATATACGTTATAATTTCTGAAACCCTAAACTTAGGTTTGTTTTATTAGCGCATGAATATATCACAAAAAACATGCAGAAATAATTACCACATTATTCATATTGCCATTAGCGCATTGCCAGCAAATCGTTGGCTTGCCGCTTCGCTTGTAGTCACGCACGTAATGTTTAGCTATGGAAATGAATATACTGTCGAAACCGATGGCCTATACTCTATCCACATACTGTACTTTAACCACGTACCTGCAATTAGACGGTGCTTATGGTACCTTGAAACTAATCGTAATAAACATGTATCTTCTGTCGATGGAACACACGCACGAACAATTATTAATTACACACGATTTGAGGCACCTAGCTATCCGTGAGTTAGGGTAATGAATCTCATTCAAATAAAAGGTTTTTGGAATATTCTTACGCAATATTTAAATGAGCAGGAGCAACAGATTTTACTAGAGAATTAAAAAGATGAAATTTTAAAACGTAGATCAGTAACACATTACAAGTAGAACAAATATAAAACTCAAGAACCAAAAAAGCAGAGACGCTTTTACCTGTATATATCAGATCTGGATATAGATCTAGAACTAGAACTGTTGTAACATCAAGAAAAATCTACAATACCACGACAATAATTACATGCACTGATAAGAGAACACCAAGTGAGTAATAGGTGCAACAAATAAACATATTCAGCATTACATAAAAATTAAATTTTAAGGATTCAATTCGGAATATATGGTACTTTTCATCCAAACAGTATTTCAATTTAAGTCCAATTATTTGTGAGTCTTGACGATCCGAAGCCGTTAATGGCTTATTATTTCCATGCATAGGTAAGTAAGGAAGACACATTACAGGAATGGAAACTTTGCGGAAAACTTAACAAGGGCAACGTCATTCCACTATCCACTGTCATCTAAAACTTTACCACGAAATCCGGCGGTGCAGGTTTTGTGCAAATACAAAATACCTAACTAACATTGGTATGCAATTTCACTGATCACAACGACTTATCACAAGCAGCTGTATGGGTAACACTGAACGCATTTACGGAAAACGAAAACATAAAATATGATCTTCGACACCACCATATTATTCGACACTAATAGTGACACTAAATCATGGTACCAAATATCTTATTATATTTAAATCGATGTAAACAAACTGGAGGCTGCGCGGCAGGCAACTGGTTTAGTTTCTGCGCGTGCGCCGGTCGGTTGTCGCCTCGCGTTATTCGAAGTGGGGAGGGAGGACACAGGTCACGTCTCCCCCCGGCCTCTGCGAGGTAGACGGGCCATTGAGAGGTGCTCGCACTCGTGTAAACAATCGTTCCACCTGTGCAACCACGAACATGAATTGTTGAAATTTTATAATCAAATGCAGTGCGTTCGATAGTGTGCACGGTAATCAATATGCACTAGGGTATCAAGCATTACTAGGTATTACGTATCTACTAGGGTGTTCTGAGAAGTGGAATAGGCTAGTATCGCTATCCTGTTTTGAAGGGTAGATAGGTGGGCACTTTTGCAACGATAATGAACTTTGGGAATCGCTAGCACCAGGAATACTGTGAGTGCGTCTGCTTACTGGTGGTAGGACCTCTTGTGAGTCCGCACGGGTAGGTACCACCACCCTGCCTATTTCTGCCGTGAAGCAGTAATGCGTTTCGGTTTGAAGGGTGGGGCAGCCGTTGTAACTATACTTGAGACTTAAGAACTTATATCTCAAGGTGGGTGGCGCATTTACGTAGTAGATGTCTATGGGCTCTAGTAACCACTTAACACCAGGTGGTCTGTGAGCTCGTCTACCAACTTAAGCAATAAAAAAAATCGAAATAAAGCATCATAACTTTAATTAAATTCAGAGGTTAATCCTTACAAGTCTAGTCAGAGCCTTTCGCGTTTCAGTTGTAAATGGCATTAACAACTTCCTCGAGGGTGGGTGATGTGAGCCAGGAAAGGGTCAGTGGCGCGGAGAAATCAACGGAGCGGTAAGACTAGCGCGGATGCATTAACCGGAACGGCTACGTGGGGTGTCCACCGTCCAACCACCTTACAATAAATGACGTAAATTTAGTTCCATAATATCTTCAGTCTTAATTCTTCGGGTGATTTCATATTGAAATTACATATTGTAGAATTCAAATGCACAGTTGGACTGTCCCGAAAATCGAGTTATTATCAAAAAAATATTTAACATCAATGACATCAGAGAAGATTTTTTATACCTAACCATTTCTTATACCTAAGAATTGTGGACCAACATTTTTTTTTATTGCATAGATGGGTGACGAGCTCACAGCCCACCTGGTGTTAAGTGGTTACTGGAGCCCATACACATCTACAACAATTAGGGGAAAGTGGGGGAAACGCGAACGCTGGGTAATGCCGAATTCAATGGTTCTAATATGTTAGAAAGATATATCCTAATTTTATTTGCCGCCATTTCGGAGATCACGCCACCACTGATGCCAGTCAATAACACGGGAGACGCGGACGCACGTACTTAAAAAGGTATGCATTTTTCAATATTTTGTATGTTTTAGATGTAATTTTTTGGCAAATTCAAGTTGATGTAACTTTATTTCTATCTACAATAATAATTCAGCTTTTACATAGTGGAATAATCACATATTACTCAGCTAAATGTTAATGATGTAGTAGGCAAAATAAATTTAACCAAAATTGTTTTTGACCTTTAATTATTTTCGATTCCGCGGGGTAAAGACGAACACTCCATGTCGGGCAATCTCGAACATTCGCCGTTACCCCACTCCCGTTTGTTAGTACCCCGTTCAACTTTTTTTAAAATATTATTACAGATGCCTTGTACTTACAAAAGAAAGACCGAACTAAAGTATAGTTTAGAAGATCTCAAAAAGGCTATAGACGATGGTAAAACCAAAAACTCTCCCTGCGTAAAGCAGCAGAAACATAAATAATGTTCCAAAAACCACTAATTTTGACCATCTAATGAAAGAAGTGGTAATACAGCCATGGTTGGATGAAAACCTTTATTTACAGACAATCAGGAAACGTAAGAAATCAAGAAGAAAACGGAAAGATAGCAAAAAAGGAACCCAAATAAAAAGACTGAAATGTAATGAGAGAACACCTTCAAACAAGAAGTATGAAATATTATTAAAGAATTTGAACAATATAAAAAAAGACTTTAGTGACTCTAGTCATAATACGAAAAAAAAAAAGAAAAAGGCGAAACAGAAAATAAAGACTACTTTTATATTTTTTGTAGAGATAAATATATTGATCCTCCCGTTGAAGACTAGATTGTGTGCTATGTGTGCAAAAAATGGGCTCACGAGAGTTGTACTGACGGACAGTCAACATCGTTGGGTTTTAAATGTGATCTATGTCGTTAATAATGTTGTTTCGTAATCACCCCACTAGGTGTTCGTATTTACCCGACTAATGTCGGGCAAAGCCGAACACTAAGGGTTTTGTTTTTCTTTCATATTGTTGCAGTTTATTAAAAAAATATAAATGATGATTAGTGAATAAGTTAGACAGATAAGTAAACTTCATAATAAAAAAAATTTAAAAAATCTGTGATTAAATTCCATTGTTTTATTTAAGTTTTCCCTTAGGTGTTCGTATATCCCCCACTTTCCCCTACGTTGCGCCACCCACCTTGAGATATAAGTTCTAAGGTCTCAAGTATAGTTAAAACGGCTGCCCCGCCCTTTAAACCGAAACGCATTACTGCTTCACGGTAGAAATAGGCAGGATGGTGGTACCTACCTGCGCGGACTCACAAGAGGTCCTACCATCAGTAAATATGGTACAACATGACTGTAAATGATCACTGTCGCTCATGGACTTAAGTAATGCCAGGAACACAGTTTACCGCTGATCGTCCTAAAATTATCTTTATAGGATAAGTCATAGTCAAGGTCCGCAGGAAACAACGAGCAGGCGAGTTCATTCTAGCCGGAAATTCGATAAACCTGTTTCGTAAAAGACAAATGTATGTCGAACTAACAACCTCCACTTTCTCGAGCTAGTTCTTTTACTTCCCCGTCATTCGTATAGTCACCCTGTTTTATATCAGACTAGCTGACCCGGCAGACTTCGTAGTGCCTCACTCGATAAATAAAAGACCTAAACTTTTGAATAAAGTAAACTTAAAACAAACAAAAGGAATCCGTCCGACGGGGGACACATCAAAGGAAAACAAAAATGTTATTTTTATTTAATTCCGAGCATTTTCATATTTATTTACCTTTTAAACCTTCCCCGGACTTCCACAAATAATTCAAGACCAAAATTAGCCAAATCGGTTCAGCCGTGCTCGAGTTTTAGCGAGACTAACGAACAGAAATTCAATTTTATATATATAGATAGATGTCATCCAACTTTAAGCCCTGTCTTCAGCTTTGGTTGTAACGCACTGTGAACCCGCACCTTTGGCTGCCATAATCCTCTTTTGGCTCCGATTTCAAAGCAATCTGTAGGGCGCAAAAGGTTGTGCCGACCGATTTTCGACTTGATATTGTTGTTGGCGGCTTCATTAGATTAAATTGTTTATAGGCTCCGAATACCACTACGAATCTTGAAGCGCATTCATATTTATTCTATTAGTATAATTTATCGTTAAACTTCAATGATTAAAAACATTAAAACATAATGAAAAACTATGAAATTTGGATGGAAACTATGGATTCCTTTAATATTATTCCTTTTAATACGCTTTTATTAGCTTCAGACGTATGTTAGTATGTATGTTAGTATGTAACAGAATCTTTGAGCATGATTTTGACCCCTTCAAGACGTTGGATTAACTCGAAATTTGGTATACTTATTAAGGACCGATGACAATTTAATATTTTAAACAGTTTGATCCGTTATCCTTACTAGGATAATCAGGATTATCGATTTTTTGTTTTCCTGAGACCTGGAGTGTCTGCATCGAGACCAAGAAGGGAAACTACCAGGCCAAAATAGCAAAATACCAAAATAGTGTAAGGAAAAATGATTTTATTGTAAAAAAAAAGCGTGCACTCCGCATGGTATCAACAGTTATAAATATTTTGTTAATATCCTGAAAAGCACCCCATCCTTTTTTTACAGTAAAATCATTTTTAATTCAAATTTATTAAAACTTATTTTCTATTTTTTAGTTGGGAGTTTCTAGAAAAGCGTATTTTTTTAGTTTTCTATTAATGTGTTATACATGCTGGTGAAATTCTATACTACTAGCGTCATCTATCTTCAATCATTAACACTTTAGATAGGTTGAGATTTTCCGTGATTTTATTTTCATCAATTTTCAGGACAGTTTTTACCATATATAAATTATAATATTAAATAAGCTAAATACTATGATAAAGTACCTTCATATTTACGTTCATAATTGTCAAAGTTTCATTTTACTTTACAGAATTCCTACAATAGATGGCGCTTTCCTTATTTTAGATTCTTTCTTGTTAATTTTTGCTACAGTACCTACTTGATAACAATGTTTTGTTAGGTACTGATTTATATGGTAAGATGGTTTGATTAGATTGCTTTGAGAATATCAGCTACTTAAACTATGGTCGAATATTTAACTGTGCTTAAACAATTTCAAATTCATTTTATTCATATCTTTCAATATTTAAGTAATTGCGAAGTCACCATTATTTCTACAAAACGTTGAAAGAAACTAATATACGAAGTTAACTATTGCCTATTGTTAACTTTTAAATTGTATACTCCAAAAACGTCTACGGCGTCAACATTACATACAAATGTCTAACATTATAATAATTTTTTTGGTCGGCTTATTTCGACACATTCGATATGGACTGATTTGATGCATAATTAACAACTACTACTTGACCTCTGCAACCCGTTTGGAGAACAGATTTCGCCACCGTAATATCTAATTGATTTTTTTATACGATGTGTATACGCACACATACGTATCATCTCTAATTTTAGGCATTAGATACAAACAAATATGAATAAACTTTTTTAAAAACGTATGAAACCCTGTCTCACGGAGTTTTTGTTCCCATCGTCATAATTTCTATCCTGAAACCTTTCAAATACTTCAACTTAAGTAGGTTTCGTTGGGCAGTACGTATATGTAACATAGCAGGTTACAATTCTATAAGCCTTGTATGGGATTACTTACAATGTGTGCTATTAGTTGACAAGTTAACTATCGGTATTCGTAAATTAAAG